AGGGTCTCAGACTCTCTGGTTCTCAGGTAGACTCCCAACTCTCAGGCTGATAAACAGAGCCTTCCACAAGCACTCTTCCAGCCTTGCCTAATTCCTCTCGCCTCTCCCCACATGCACCTATTTCTAAGCCTCCAGACCTCTGTAGATACTGGTGTCTTGCCACCCCAATCTCCCACCCCCGCGCCCTTCCCTCTGTGCTGCCCTCTGTATCCAACCAACACCTAGTCTCCCTTCAGGCTCCACCTGACACTGCCTCCTCCTCCTCAAGTTCTTTCTGTGTGCCTTCCTCCCAGGCAAGGCAGATGACACCCTCTTGTGAGGACCACACCATGCAGTCCCCTCTGCTCCAGCACTTCTTGAGCTCTGGGGCTGGCCTCCACTCATCCTGGCACTGCCCTGACTGGCCCAGCAGCAGGCAAACAGAAGATAGCCCCAAATGTTTGTGAACCGAAGGTTGAATGACCCAGGTCACCTGGTCACAGCTGCCTGAGAGAGGTTTCTGAAGAGAAAAGAACATGCGAAAATTATGCTGCAATTTCTTCATTTGAGAACTGTAGTGGGATAGCAACAGACACTGTGGCATGTGCATCTTATGGGTGGAGTGGCCGCTGGAGACTGGTTTGAGTCTCAGCTACTCCACTTTTAACCTGGTGCCCTGATCATGCACCTGAGAGACAGCAGGTGATGTTGTAAGTACCCCTGAGTCCTGGACACTCACCTGGGAGACCCATACGGTGCCCTTGGCTTTGGCCTGACCCAGCCCCAGACACTGCAGCCATTTGGGAAGTGAACCAAAAAATGAAAGATTGTTCTTTGTGTGGCTCTGCCTTTCAGATAAACAGCTCTAAACAAAAAAATAATATAAAAAACAGAGTTGCAGAGAAAAGCTATATTATTTTAAATAATCATACCAGGTAGTATGACCCAGTGTCAAGTTACTTTAGAATTTGTACCTCAGAAAAGCTAGGCATTCCTGGCTAGGACTCAATCCTCATCGGCCTCTTATTAGCAAGGTAGTCTGGGCAAGTGACTGCTTCTGCCTCAGTTTCCCCACCCATGAAGCAATGATAGCATATTCCCAGTCCCACCCTAATTCCTCTTTCCAATGTTTCTCATACGCTAAGGTCACTTCTGTATCATTTCCATTCACAACACTTCTGACACAAAATGTGTGGGGCTTTTCTTTATATCAACTAATTCCCCAACATTCTGGATGGCAACTAGGTACCCTACAATTCAGTTCTTAAAGTAATACCTTCCCGGAGTCTGTACGATCGCAGGGTGCAACGGCTCAGTTCCACAGGATGGCCTCTGCTACCCATGTCACGCACTGCCGACCAGCTGGCTGCTGCTCTCAGGCGCATCACTAACTAGCAGGGCTCACAGAACTCAGCAACGTGCTTCATTTACTATCACCAGTCAACTATAAAGGATACAGCTCAGAGAGACAGGACAAGTTACGGGGATGGGGGATGTTCATCAAGCCAGAAGCCTTCCAAAGCCCAACATTAAAGGTCTGTATCCAAGTTCAGTTCAGCAGGCAGAGTTGATTACACTGTCACTGCTGGTGCTGGGATCACCGCTACTGGCAATGAAGTCATTCCCCAGTCCCTCTTGGGTCCCAACTCCTTAACTGCAAGACTGGATTCTCCAGCAAACTACCTGCCACCTCATTAGCATGAACTCAGACGAGTAAGGAGACTTGTGAAGAATAACCAAAGGTCAACTTCAGAGTGACTCAAGATGTCCTGAAGCTTTTCAAAGGTCTGTGACCTCCAACTCAGGGCAAAGACCAACTTATATATCTTAGGGTAACTCTCGGGCCTAAGGACTTTGACACTCTGTGGTTTCTCCACCTACAATACTCCTAGAAAGGTGATTCACTCAGCTCTCTAGTCAGATGCCACCTCCCCAGAGAAGGGCCAGCAACTAAAAGAATCTTCCATCCCTGCGCTTCTCCACTGCCCTATCCTTCTTCATGTTCTTCAGCACACTTGCCAGGACCCTAAATAACACTGTTTGTCTACCCTTTGTCCTCACATCTACCAGGACATAAATTCCCTGAGGGGAGGGCCTGATCTCACCTCAGTCCCCAGCACCAAGAATGCCTGAGGCACACAAGCTCAGGAAAACAAACAAAACACACTTGCCGAACGAATGGCATAACCAGACAGTAACACCTTCAACAAAGAGTTTTATAGAGCTTGAATGAGAGGGTACACATAGAGGGATGGAAAATGCTTAATGCAACACCTTGCACATGGTTATCAATTGTGGCTGACACTTTATCAATACAATCCAGAAGAGGGTGAGGCCAACGCAGGCAGAAGCAGTTACAGGAGTTTCAAGGAGGGGTGGGGTAGAGCTTCATCTAGAAGGATAAATAATTCTCCCTCTGGGTGGGGACAGGGGCAAGGGTCCGAGTGTCTCCCTGGCACTAGCCACCTCTCCCCAGGGTGTGCTGTCTTCATACTCAGGTTTCAAATGCCGAGTCATCACCCAGCCAGAATCAACTGCTGAATCATTTCTCTGCCCATCCACTGATCTACCTGGCCAGGAAACAGCATTCAGCATTGTCGCTGAATTCATTTCAGAAATCTGCAGCAATGGGAGAGCCCACTCCCCACCCCAGCAATCCAGTCTTGGGTGTCTGGCCAAAAGAAATCCCCAAGCCATCACTAAAAATGCGGGTGAAACAATAAGCAAGCAAAGAGAATGTCCACCCCAGCAAACAGCAAGCTCTGGTGCAACCACTCTGCATAAAAATTATACTGAGTGAAACGGCACTCAAGAAGAGAACCTTGAAAAGGTCTTGTAAAAGGGGGTTGGGGGGCGCCCAGCGCAATAGCATAGTGGTTAAGGTCCTCGCCTTCAACATGCCGGGATGCCGTATGGGTGCCGGTTCTAAATCCCTGCCTGTGGCCTGGGAAAGCAGTCAGGACGGCCCAAAGCTTTGGGGCTCTGCACCCACGTGGGAGACCTGGAAGAAGTTCCTGGCTTCGGATTGGCACAGTTCCAGCCATTGTGGCCATTTTGGGGGTGAACCATTGGAGGGAAGATCTTCCTCTGTCTCTCCTCTCTGTGTATCTGCCTTTCCAGTAAAAAAAAAAGGGGGGGGGGTGGGCTCTGGGGAAAGAATTGCAGAATACACACTATTTGATCTCATTTTGAAAAACGAAAAATTTAAACACATACACACACAAGACAATGTGTGCAGGAATTAGGATTTTTCCAAAAGGTCACAAAAAATGTCATTCAAAGATAACTTTATTTTGATGCAAAAATCACATTGGGAGATCCAAGACCTACCTTTTTCCTAAGATGCACTTTTCTATTAACTTTTTCCAAATGACCCCCTCCCCATAGCTACGACTTGAAATACCTTTTGCATCAAAGTAAGTTTGTACACTCCATTTCCAAGGACGTCCTGCATACCCGTGTAGTCCTCTACCGATCCTTTGTTTAACCGCCCTTTCTACTTTCCAGCATTGTGATCCAAAGGTAGGTTTCAACAAATATTTGCTGAACTCAAGAAACAAACCATTTGTACCCAAAACAAGGACTGTGGAAGACGTGTGCCTCTCATGCTATATATTGCCATCTCTATTTTAAAGAGATTGCTTTAATGACTGTTTACATAAGTAGAATGATTCAAAAGAAAAACATGGCAGGACCTAGACGTATTGTAAAAAGGTCCAGGCTGCCTAAGAAACTAATCTGTTGTAAGCAAGCTTCACCACTACACGTCTCCAGCACCAGACCCCGCAGAGCACAAAGAGGAACAGACCCGCGCTGGTTTCCAGTTGTTCCCCAAACAACTGACCCTTGATGACTGACCCTTCCTATAAGGCGCTTGCGTCCCAAGCCCCGATCCCTCCAAAGCCTTGTCTCCCCGGCGCACGCCCGTGACCCCAGGCAGGACAGCAGGTGAGGAGGGTGGACCCACACGTGCGCCCACGCCGGGGCACCGACGCGAAGGAAACTTACTTTCTCATCGGCCCCTTCCGCGGCTGAGACCTGTCGCTCCTGTTCCGGCATCTCGCCCGGAGGACACCGATTTCCTCTCCTGTTCCAGCCCAAAGCCCAAAGGTCACCTGTTCAGCAAAGGAGAAAAAGCGCGGTATTAACAGGCAGGGCTGGGGAGGCATCCATGTGGCCCCTGGAGGGGCCTGGGATCAGGGAATCCGCAAACCCCATCCACTCAGGGGAGGACTCCAAGGTGCGCGCAGCCGTAGCCCCAGCCCTGGGGCGCACGGGGGGGATGAGAACGCTAAGGGACGCCGGGCCTCGAACCCGCACCCGAACCCGCCGGTGCCTGCCGGTGCCTCAGTATCCTCTCCCGTTCGGAACCGCAGCGCGGGGGCCCGTCCTCCCTTCCCGGCTCTCCGCCTCAGCGAGTCGGTGCGCGCGGGACTTGGTGCTGGGACCCCGATCCCAGCCAGCCGCGCAGCCGGGGCGGTATCGGCAGACCCCCTAGGCTGGCCTACCGTCTGAGGGAAAGGTGCGGCGAGGCGTGGCGTCGGGTCCGCTCGGCGCAGCACCCTTCGCGAACTCCGCGTCCGTCCGACCTCCTGGGTGCCGCCGATCCCGAGCACCGCCGCGGCGCGGGAGTGAACTCTGCACCTGGAAAATCGACCCGCGACGCGCAGGGAGCCTGCGCTCCGGTCCCCAACGGGCGGCGGGCTCCGGGCTGGGGGACGAGGGAGCCTCGGGGGCAGGGGCTTCCAGTGGGCGGGGCCGAGGCGGGAGCGCCGGCTGTCCATCACAGGCCACGCCCCCCAGGTCCACCTCCTGCCGCGCTCCGGCCCCCAGGAGGCGGAACCCGCGTGCGCCAGCCAGAAAAAAAAAAACTCGTCTACGCCTCTATAGAGTCTAATTGGCCGGGAGGCCGTGGGAAGCTGCCACTGAAAGCCAATGGGATCACGCGATCGGCCTGGGAGGGCGGGGGGAAGTAGCGTACTGTTCCTGAGGAGCCAATAGGCGAAGGGGACGCAGAAACGCTTCCTGATTCGGGGGTCGGCGCAACATGGCGGCTGCCAGAGGGGCTTGGCTGGTGGGCGAGTTGTTGAGGTGAGCGGCGTGTGGCGGGGGGGTTGCAGGTGTTAGTTGACTTGCCTGTCTCGTGAAGCCCAAGCGTACGGGGAGATGGCCGTGCACGTCATTAGCTTGTTTTCTTAGACCAGCGAACGGGCTTTGGGATCCGCTGGAGCTGACCAGGGATTAAAACCTCAGTTGACTGCATTTCCTTCGCCCATGGCGTTGCTGATTTCTATAGACTCGAATTCCTCTTGTTGCTTCAGCTTTTTCTTTCTCGTCTTCACAGGCCAGCTAGTGATCATAAGTCCTACTTAGTTTTCGTATTTCTTTACGATTGACTCTCTTTCCCACCTAGAGTGTCTCTATTGCAAAGAAGTCCCCGGATCTTCCTTCTCTCTTAGCTTCTCACGAACTTAGTGAAACTGCCTTTGTTAGCACCTGTCATTTCTGCATAAAGTATATGCTGACTCTTCTGTTTCTTGATTGTCTTATTGACTTATTTTTTAAATTGGCGTAAGAAATAGATATTTTAAAAAAAAACCCTGATACACGGGCATATGTTTTATCACAATAATGTATTGTTTCTTCTGGGGAAGTTAAATAGTTGTGTAAAAGAAAAACTCGTGAAGCATGCTGTGTTTTGACGTTAACCACTGTTAGATTTCAGTGAAGAATCGCCCGGATTTTTGTCCACCTTGGATGGTGCCTTACCCTACTAAGAAAATCACACCTTAGTATATTCTACTAACCAAGTTCTTTTTAACACCTACATATTTTTTGCGCAGGTTGAAAGTCTGTATTGACACAGTAGCTTCCTGAATATTAGTATATACATATTTCCTCCAAAATTAAAGCATTTTATCCTCATTTTTTTATCTCTTCTTTAAATTCTATAATGATTATTTAAAATACTAGAAATCTGCTCAATTGCTTCTCAGCCTTTTGGCTAAGATCAAAAGTAGAAAATCTATGCTCAAAGCCTTCCTCTTCCCCTGCGATGTGGATTATCTCTCGCTAGCGCTCTGTACGTTAGAATTGTTAAATATTTGCTGAATTAAAGATTCACTGTTGATGATAATTGTCAAGGCTTTTTATATAAGCATTGGTATGCATTGTAAAATGGCCCATATTTTAAATGATAAATTCTTTAAAGAGTAATTTAGATACACAAGTACTATGGGGTACTTAATGAACTTTTATAGAAGCTGTAAAAATGGTAGTCAAACAACTGGTTTAACTTTAATCGTTTTTTTGGGGGGGGGTGTCTGATCTTTTAAAAATTAATTTATTTTCATTTTATTTGAAAGGCCGAAAGACAGAGCGAGACTGCCACAGAGAGATCTTCCATCTGCTGCCTCAACTGCCCAGATACCCACTGAAACCAAGGCTGGGCCAGGCAAAAAACCTGGCACTCACTCTGGGTCTCCCTTGCTGGTGTCAGGGACCCAAGATGTTGGAGCCATCTCCTGCCACGCAGGTTGCACAGAAGCAGGAGGCTGGATCAGCCGCAGAGGAGCCTAGGTGCAAGCAAGGCTCTCCCCTGTCAGGTGGAAGGATGTCGCTAGTGGAGACTTCATGGTAGCACCAAATGCCTGCCCACCTCCTGTTCTCTCCCGGTGTTCTAAATCATTTTGGAAATCCCATCGCATGTGTTTCTCACCTAAGTCACTTGAAAGAATTGTCACAAAAATGCTTGTATCCAAAAACCTGTAAAGCAAGCGTTGAATGCTTGTCCTTGTAAAGCAAACTGTCCTACACAGTGTTGCTTTTCCATGAACTCGGGTATTGCTAATGCCAAGGAAATGGCAGGTCTTTTTACTTTCCAGAAATTACTCATCCCTTAGGGTGTACTTTCTCAACATGCTGGCCTTGGACCCATGCAGCCTTAAGACTCTTTCATTGAGCCCTGGCCAAATGGTTTTTACAATACTGTTAAATGTTACATACACACTGAATAGGAGAAAGGTAGCTCAAGGTTGATTTTTACTGCTGATTTAAATATGTTAAATTGCTGGCGTGTTGGGGCTAACTTCTTGACCCAATGGATTAAGCCGCTACCTTCCATGCAGGCATCCTATGTTAGAGAACCAGGTACTGGTCCAGGCTCCTCTGCTCCTGATCCAAGCCCCTTCTGATGTACCTGGGGAAAGGTAACAAATGATGGCCCAAGGACTTGAGCCCCTGCCACCCTCAGGGGAGACCTGGATGGAGTTCCAGGCTCCAGCCTGCCCCAGGTCCATCCTCAGCCATCGTGGCCAGCTGGAAAATGAGCCAGCAGAAGCAAAATTTCTTGTCTTTGCCTCTGTCTCACTTTACTTTGCAAATCAATGGAATAAAAATTTTTGGGGGGGAGGAGTAAAAATGGTACCATGCAATTGAAGAAAGACTGGAATTAAAGATTACAAACTTTTGACATTGGATGTTCATTAAAAACCTGTAATTAATAAATGCATTTTAGTAATTATTGTGTTAGTCAACTTGCAAGCTACTAAAATTCTCTCTTTACTAATAATATATAGAAGAGATAGGCAAGAGTAGATTTCAACTTTCTTGTTTTTTAACAGGCATCACATCAACTTCCATTTTCTCTCATTTCAGGTTTTTTTATTCACTGTTTGTCCCTGGACTAATTGTGTGTGGCATTTTATGTGTGTGTGTGGCTGTTGTCCTGTGGATAATCAGACTGCTACTTCAGAAAAAGAAAAAATCAGTGTCAAGCAAAAATGGAAAAAATCAGATGGTGATTGCATTTTTTCATCCCTATTGCAATGCCGGTGGTGGAGGAGAAAGAGTTCTTTGGTGTGCCTTAAGAGCCCTGCAGAAAAAGTAGGTATGCATCATGCTAACTAATTTCCTGTGTTGTCTTCCTTTTTTTTTTTTAACCATTATCCAGAAATTTACCTTTTCTTTGCTTACCTTTTTTTGTTCATGACCAGCTTCTTTTCTTAATCTTCAAAAAGAAAATATTTTTTTCATATGTTTAACTCCCTTGTAAGATCCTATTGCAGTTGGGCCCGGCGCGGTGGTGCAAGTGGTTAAGGTCCTCGCCTTGCACACCTGGGATCCCATATGGGCGCCGGTTCTATCCCAGCAGCCCCGCTTCCCTTCCAGCTCCCTGCCTGTGGCCCGGGAAGGCAGTCGAGGATGGCCCAAAGCTTTGGGACCCTGTACCCGCGTGGGAGACCCGGAAGAGGCTCCTGGCTTCGGATCGGCATAGTATTGGCCGTTGCACTCAACTTGGGGAGTGAATCATCGGACAGAAGATCTTCCTCTCTGTCTCTCCTCTCTGTATATCCACCTTTCCAATAAAAAAATAATAATAAAAATAAATCTTTAAAAAAAAAAAGATCCTATTGCAGTTTAGTTGCTATGGTTAAAAAAAAAAAAAACACACAGGGAAATTACATGCAGTTTTAAAAATATTTATTTATTTTGAAAGTTAGTTACGCAAAGAATCTGTTGGTCGACTCCCCAGATGGCCACACCAGCCAGGGCTGGGCCAAGCTGATGTGAGGAGCTTCAGCTAAGTCTCCCACGTGGAGTGCTGGAGCCCAACATTTGAGCCGTCTTCCGCTACTTCTCCCAGGTTTTTAGCAGGCAGCTGGGCTGGAGGTGGAGCAAGCAGAGACATGAGCTGGCATCCATATGGGATGCTGGCATCACAGGCAGTGGCTTTACATGCTATGCCACAATGCATTTTTATGAGTTTTATGAGGAGAATCAGTCATGTTGGGCAAATGTACACGAAAGAGGTTAATTTATGAACAGGAATGTACCAGGTATCGCAGAGCCCTTTGAACCTGAGTGCTTTCAGTCAGCGAAGGAACATAGCTGTAATGCCTGTGAAAGCATGCATACACTGATTCTAACTGGGATGTCATTCACAGTTGGATGAGCTTAATTACATCATCTGATGTGTTAGGCTTCCTCATCCCCATCACTTGCATCTTTAAAATATTCATGATTCTTACAGAGGAAAATGCAGAGTAATATACAGGTTCCATCATTGCTTTATCATGTGAGGAAAATGATTACCCTATTGAAAACTAGCTTAAATTCAGCTTCCTTGAAGCCTTCCCTAATTTAATTAATACTGTTTTCATAATCGTACATTAACTTTCTCTTTCTGACCAGACATTTGTCCTAGCAGTGAAGACATCAGTCAACAGTCCCTCCTTGTTGGATACCGGAGGACACCATCAGGTTGCTAACACAGATGCTGGGAGACAGCAGTGATGGCTCAATGGTTGGGTTTCTACCACCCTCATGGGAGCCCTGGATTGAGTCCTTAATTCAGGGCCTGATCAAGATTTGCTGTGGCAATTTGGAGATCGAACCAAGAGATAGGACGACCCTCTCTTTCAGAGTTACTGAGAGAGGGAGAGACAGAGAGCAAACAAGATCTTCCTTCTGCTAGTTTACTCTGCACATGACCACAACAGCTGGGATGGCCAGATTAATGCCTAAACCAGGAAGTTCTTCCACATTGGTAGCAGGGGCCTAAACACTTGGACCATCTTCTGCCTTACCAGACTGTTAACAGGATGGGAAGTGGAGCAGCTAACACTCAAACTAGTGTCCATGTGGGATGCCAACAATCTTATTTTGTCTATGTGTATCTGTCTACCTTTAGTAAATAGAATAATACTTTAGGGAGCTGGATGAGAAGTGGAGCAATCGGGACACAAACCGGCACCCATATGGGATCCAGGCACATGCAAGGCCAGGATTTGGCTCCAGGCCATCACTCTGGGCCCAGTCACTGTGCCTTCCAAATACATGATGGTGCTAATCCCATTCATCTCATTAAGAGGCCCCTCCCCTTCAGACCACCACCATGGACCTAGGGAGTAGACAACATATAAGCAATTGTGAGGGGACACAAGCATTCATGCCGTAACACACAGTCATGAAGGACTGGTCATTTTAGTTGTTTTCATTGAGCTGTAGTAGGTTCATGAAAGCATGGGGTCAGTAGTTCAGCTACAGTTAATGCAAAACAGTGGAAATCATTATTTAATGTAAAAAACAAATTCATGTTCATGAGAAAATTTTCTACAACTTTTCATTTGGTTTTCGCCTAAGTTAGTGATATCTTTACTATAATACTCTGTTTTAGATATCCTGAAGCAGTTTATGCTGTTTATACTGGGGATACTAACGTCACCGGGGAACAGATACTAGAAGGCGCCTTCAGAAGGTTTAACATCAGATTGAGTCACCCAGTGCGCTTCGTTTTCTTAAGGAAACGCTATCTAGTGGAAGATTCCCGATATCCCCACTTCACACTGCTGGGCCAAAGTCTTGGCTCCATTTTTCTTGGTTGGGAAGCTCTGATGCAGTGTGTCCCTGACGTCTACATCGATTCCATGGGATATGCTTTCATACTTCCTCTCTTCAAGTACCTAGGGGGTTGCCGAGTCGGCAGCTATGTTCACTACCCCACCATCAGCACTGACATGTTGGCCGTGGTGAGGAATCAGAATGTCGGATTCAACAACGCAGCCTTTATCACCCGGAACCCGGTCCTCAGCCAAGCCAAGCTCATCTACTACCACCTGTTTGCTTTCCTGTATGGGCTTGCTGGCTCATGCAGTGACACAGTCATGGTCAACTCCTCCTGGACCCTGAACCACATCCTGTCCCTTTGGAAGGTGGGGGACTGCACAAGCGTTGTTTATCCGCCCTGTGACGTGCAGACATTTCTAGACATTCCCTTGGACGAGGAAGAGCCGCCTGCAGAGCGTCTGCTGGTTTCCATCGGGCAGTTCCGGCCCGAGAAGAACCATCCTTTGCAGATCAGAGCTTTTGCTAAGTTGCTCAGTAAGAAAGTGGCAGAGTCGCCTGCAGCACTGAAGCTTGTCCTCATTGGAGGCTGCCGGAACAAGGATGACGAGCTGAGGGTGAACCAGCTGAGAAAGCTGACTGAGGAGTTAGGCGTTCAAGGAGATGTGGAATTTAAAGTAAACATCCCATTTGACGAACTGAAGAAGTACTTGTCCAAAGCAACAATCGGCCTGCATACCATGTGGAATGAGCATTTTGGGATTGGTAAGTCTGTCCTAGGTAAACAACTTGGTGGTGCCATGAGATTCTAGCTTTCTCTGACAAAATAATAATTTTCTGGAAGTCTGTGACAAGCTCTCATTCTCCTGTAATTCCCAAGGATGCTTTTCTCATTTGACACTCTGTAAGACACGTAATAACAGCTGCTGTCTATTGACCTCTTGCTGCATGCAGGTCATCGTTTTTCTATGAATAGTATGTAATGTTAATACTCCCTAAAATGCTATTTGCTAAGCATTACAGTTATTTTTATACATAAGGAAACTGAGGCACACAGCAGTTTAGAAATTGGTCAAAGGGTTAAGTAACTGGTAGCAGCATCCAGGTAGCCTTGGTTTTTTTTCCTCTTTTTAAAGACTGGTTTGAGGGCCTAGCACAAAGCCTCAATGGCTAAATACTCACCTTGCAAGCCCAGGATCCCATATAGGCACCTTCTATATGTGTCCTGGCTGCTCCACTTCCCATCCAGCTCCCTGCCTGTGGCCTGGGAAAGCAGTCAAGGGCAGCCCAAAGCCTTGAGAGCCTGCACCCACATGGGAGATCCAGGAGAAGTTCCTGGCTTCTGGCCTCAGATCACCTTGGCTCTAGCTGTTGCGGCTGCTTGGGGAGTGAATCAATGGATGGAAGATCTTCCTCTCTGTCTTCTTTCTCTCTGTACATGTTACTTTCCGATAAAAATAAATCTTTAAAATAATATTAGTAATAATAAAATTTTTAAAAAGAGACTGATTTGAAAAGCAGAGTGATGGGTGGAAGGAGTGAGAAAGAGGCAGCTGCTGGCTGACTCTCCAGGTGCCCATAGCACTCACAGCAGGCCAGAGCCCAGACCAGGACTTTCATCCAATCTTCTGATGTGGCTGGCAAGAAACAAGGACTTGGGCCTTACCTGCTGCCTCCCTGGCACATTAGCAGAAGTGCAGGCACTTCTGTATAGAATCCTGTTCTCCTACAATAGCATGATGCCTGCCACCCCATTCTCTTTTCCTTTTTTTGTTAAGATTTTTTTTTTAAATGGAAACAGTTTTACAGAGAGGAGAAACAGAGAGGAAGATCTTCCATCTGCTGGTTCAATCCCCAAGTGACTGCAATGTCCAGAGCTGAGCTGATCCAAAACCAGGAACTTCCTGGTCTCCCACACGGGTACAGGGTCCCAAGGTTTTGTGCCATTCTCCCCCGCCCTCTAAGGCCACAAACAGGGAGCTGGATGGGATGTGGAGCATATGTGACACAGACTGGCACTGATATGGGATCCTGGTGTTTGCAAGGGGAACATTAGCCAATTGAACCATCATACCAAGACCCTCACTCCCCATCTTTTTAAGATTTTTTTTTATTATTTTTTATTGTAAAGGCTAATTTACAGAGATGGAGATACAGAAAGATCTTCCCGTCCACTGGTTCACTCAGGTGACCACAACAGCTGGAGCTGAGTTGATCTAATCTAATCTGAAGCCAGAGCCAGGCAGGAGCTTCTTCTGGGTCTCCCACACGGGTGCAGGATCCCAAGGCTTAGGGCCACCTTTTACTGCTTTCCCAAGCCACAAGCAGAGAGCTGGAAGGGGAGTGGAGCAGCCAGGACACAAACCGGAGCCCTTAGGAGATCCCGGTGCATGCAAGGCAAGGAATTTAGCCAATAGACTTTCATGCTAGGCCCTTTACTCCCTTTTACCCCATCTTTGTAATGGTGCAGAATCCCAACCCTAATCAAACTTATGAATGGCCAAATCAGAGTCAATAGGTGATGCCCAGGTACAAGTGTTTCGCTCATCAGAAGCTAAGGCTTTCACAGTAATTCCTTTCATCCTTTATTGTCTATACTCACTCTTTCAGTCGCCTCCTCTCTGTTCTGTGCCAAATCCCACTGTAAGTTTTCGACTTAAGTATTCCTACGATTGGCCACAGCGTCGGCCCGTTGCAGGTATTTCTCTCGTGCCTACTTTGGCCTCACAATGCTGGTTCTTAGGGGGAAGCAGGAACATCATATGAAGTTTTCTTCGTATAATTAGCACTACAGTTTCACTTATGCTTGTTTTTAGTTAGCAGCACAGTACTATGCCAGAGGTTCAACAAGACACCCGTCGAAGCAATTTCCTGCCTGGGTCTGACCACCTGGACTTCGCTCCACAGATACTTACTGGGCATGCTTCCTGTGCTGGGCTTCCAGGCAGGAAGTCTGTCTGCAATGGAAGGCACTCTTGCCTTCAGAGGCTTCTAGCTGTGGGGTTGTAGCGCCCAGCCATGAGTATCTGCTGCGCAGGGTGCCAGCTGCTGTGCTGACGAGAGCCAGGGTGATGAGGACAGACAAAGCCTGGACACATGGGGCAGGGTCCCTTTCCCCAGGAGGTGATGTGATTCTCAAACAGGGCTGGGCTGGAGCAGTAAGTAGAACAATTAGACAGGAACTAGGCAAGTGAGGAGAATATGGGGCAGAAGCAACAGCCCCAGGATAGAAGTGACAACCACAGGAGCAGCCGCCGGCACAACAAAGGGACCAAGAGTTCAGCTTGCTCCAAGCCTGAAGGAGAAACCACGGGACAGTGGAGAGGCCATCTGACAGGTCAAGCCAGGAGACAGGAATGGAAGGATTTTTATTATTGCATTTCAAAGCTTTCTGTTTCCAAAGTGTGGGAAGAAGCAACGATCACACGTCTGTGCAGCTAGGATGCCAGCTCTGAGTCGCTGAAAACATTTCCGCAAGCACCTGATGCATCTCTTGGAACCCACCTGGTAGGGGCTCGGGTGTGTTCAAGGAAAGATGGGGAGTGAAGCATAGCAGCAGGTGGAAACTGCTCAGTTTCCAAGGGGGCTTCGAACACTGCCTGGAAATGCCTGGAATGCGTGTTACCTGTTGTCAACCTGTCCTTTAATCCCATTTTCCACAGGCTTTCGGAAGCCCCCTGTCATTTGGCAGTAAATGATTATTTCCATTTAGTTCAGCACTGCTATTGGGCACACAGTGCTCTGAAATATGGGGGAAATCCAGGCTCGTACACCAGCACTGTCCATCTGCAGTGCCTCACTAAGGCGAACTACAGTTCTTTTTCCCACTAACATAACTTAAGATCTTAAGATTTTGCTTTTGATACCTTTCTTTTGTGTTTCTGAGCTGATCAAAGTCTAGCACCTTTTTCAGTTTGCTTATTTATTGGAGAGAGACCACTCCAGGCTTCCAGGCCACTCCCCAAAGGCCCGCAACAGCCAGGATTGGGCTGGGCCAATGCGGAAACGGGGTTTGGGGGTTGCTGAGAATCACTGTGTTGGCTCTGCCACGTGAGTGGTGGGAACCCAACCATTTCAGCACTCACTGCTGCCTCCCCCAGTCCACATTAGCAGACAGCTGGAGTCAGGAGCCAGGACCAGGAATCAAACCCTAGCACTCTGGTCCAGAGGATGTGAGCATGCCCACCAGCATCATAACCACTAGGCCAAATGCCCTCCCTGCTGAGCTGTTCAGTTAAGAACAAAGAAGGACTATTATGAAACTTTGAAAAGTCAAAAACTCAGAATTCTTTTATTTTGTACCAAAAAAAATTAGATGAGCTGATTTATGAACATATAAGGTGTTTTTTGTTTGTTTGTTTTTAAGAATGAACTCTTTGGCCTGATGCGGTAATCTAGTGGCTAAAGTCCTTGCCTTGCATGCACCAGGATCCCATATGGACTCCAGTTCTAATCCCAGCAGCTCCACTTCCCATCCAGCTCCCTGCTTGTGGCCTGAGAAAGCAGTCAAGGATGGCCCAAATCTTGGGTCCCTGCACCCACGTGGCAGACCTGGAAGAGGCTCCTAGCTTCTGGCTTCGAATTGGCTCAGCTCCAGCCATTGTAGTCGCTTGGGGAGTGAATCAGCAGATGGAAGATCTTTGTCTCTCCTCTTCTCTGTATATCTGTCTTTCCAATAAAAATAAATCTTAAAAAAAAAAAAAGAGTTCTTTGTTTGAAAACTCAGATTTAGACAGAGAGAGGCACAGGCAGAGAGAGAGTTCTTTCACTCACCAGTTCACTCCCAAAAAGCCACCAGTGGCTGGGTCTGGGCCTGGCCAAAGCTAGCAGCCTGGGGCTTGCTGCAGGTCTCCCACATAGATACGGGAGACAGGCCTTTGACCCATCCTCTGCTGGTTGTCCAGGCACATCAGCAGGAACCTGGTTCAGCAGTGCAGGCACCTGGACTCAGACATCACCCACATGGCATGCCAGCACCGGACCTACATGGGGTTCAGTGCTGTGTCGCAACGTCAGCCTCAGGGATACACGTGTGGAATTAGATTCTCAGGAGTTTAACGTATTTTAACTGCCCATCCTTGTTCTTAGGAACCCGTACAGAAGTGTCATAGACTACATTTCGTTTCTTTCTCAGGGATTGTGGAGTGTATGGCAGCTGGCACAGTCATCCTGGCACACAACTCGGGGGGCCCGAAGCTTGACATTGTCGTTCCTCATGAAGGAGACATAACTGGATTTCTCGCTGAGACCGAGGAAGGCTATGCTGACACGATGGCTCATATTCTTTCCCTGTCTGCAGAAGAGAGACTCCGAATCAGGAGCAATGCCCGGGCGTCTGTAAGCAGATTTTCTGACCAGGAGTTCGAAACCACATTCCTGTCATCGGTGGAAAAGTTACTTAAATAAGGCTATCTGTGCAAATCAGAAAAACTTGCTAGCAAACTTTACAGCAGCCTATGTAAATACTTTTTCTCATAAACTCATTCCCTATTATAATAAAGTCAGCCTGAGCAATGTTCTCAGTGGTATGTGTATGGACAGGTGTTTATTTCAATGAAAAAGGCAAAATTACTTCAGTGGAAGAGTTTACAGTTTACACATTAAAAAGCGGATAGCAAGTTTGCTCTCAGTTTCTGAATTTGCTTTCAATTTTCTGAAAAATAGGGACCTAAGGAAAAATGTATTTTTAAATGCTTATTTATTGGAAAGGCAGAATTACAAAAGATGAGGAGGAAGAGAGAGCTTGTCCATCCGCTGTCACTCCCAAGATGGCCGCAGCAGCTGGATTTGCATCTGGCCCAAACCAGAAGCCTGGAGGTCTGTACAGCTCTCCCACGTGCATAGCAGGGGCCATCTGCTGCTGCTTTGCACAAGCACCTTAGCAGGAAGCTGGATTGAAACAGGGGCAACCAGGACTTGAACCAGCACTCAGGTGGGATGTAGGAGTTCATGCAGTGACTTGACCCACTGTTCCACAATACCAACACCAAGAAAAATGATCTTGAATTTAAATATCCAAGTTTTTTTCAAATCCTGTTTATTGAATCTTGTTAGAAAATAGGAAAGAGGGCCCAGCATGGTAGCCTAGCAGCTAATGTCCTCGCCTTGTATATGCTGGAATCCCATATGGGCACTGGTTCTGATCCCGGTGGCCCCCTTCCCATCCAGCTCCCTGCTTGTGGCCTGGGAAAGCAGTTGAGGATGCCCAAAAGGTAGCAGAGCAAATGGTCCAGGGTGTCCTGACATCCCGACAAAGCTTTGTGTTGCAGATTATTTGGTTTAGAAAAGGAAGATATGGGCCCAGTGAGGTAGCCGAGTGGCTAGAGTCCTCGCCCTGCACACACCTGGTTTCCATATGGGTGCAGATTCTGGTTCCAGTGTTCCCGCTTTCCCTCCAGCTCCCTACTTTTGACCTGGGAAAGCAGTCAGGGATGGCCCAAAGCTTTGGGACCCTGTACCCACGTGGGAGACCCAGAAGAAGCTCCTGGCTCCTGGCTTCTTATCAGCTCAGCTCCAGCCGAGGCTGCTACTTGAGGGAGTGAATCAATGGACGGAAGATCTTCCTCTCTCTGTATGTCTAATTTCCAATAAAAATAAATAAATCTTAAAAAAAAACCCTCAATACATATTTCAAACAAGATAATATAGTGCTTCATACATTTTAGTAACTTTCAGGGCATTATGTAAAGTCATTTTTTTTTAGGTTTATTTATTTTGATTGAAAAAGCAGATTCACAGAAAGAAGGAGAGCAAGAGCAAAGGATCTTTCATCTGCTAGTTTCACTCCCCAAGTGGCCACAATGGCCGCATCTGAGCTGATCTGAAGTCAGGCCAGGAGCTTCTGGGTCTCCCATGCAGGTGCAGGGTCCCAAGGCTTTGGATCATCCTTTGCTACTTTTCCCAGGCCAAAGCAGGGAGCTGGATGAAAAGTGGAGCAGCCAGGACACGATATAGACTATTACAAATGATTCCAAAATATTTGTTTTTCAATTATGTAATGTGACCTAAACTCTTTGGGACTGTAATGAATAAAAGTGTGTCTTTTTAAATCTTTGCATAACCGAAAAGTTACTTCTATTACATAACTGCAAAGAATAAGTTATTCAGGTTTCTAGAAACAAATTATGTCCTTGTAATTTTCCTCACCACACCCATCCCGGTCCCATTGTTTACCTGCTTCTTCCTCCTCCCCACCCCCGCACTCCCAAATCCGTGGCTGTCACTGGCTTTGGAGAAGCATCAGTTTCAGTGATCTTGTGCTGAGTATTCACTTGGACTGTATGTAAATGTTGAAGAACTCATGCATGTTAGTACCATTTAAAGAATAATCTTCGATCGCTATCACACACCAAGTTGAAATAAACTTCAAACAGTCATTGATGAAAGAAATGGAAGAGGACAAACAGAAATGGAAAGACATCCCATGTTCATGGATTGGAAGAATCAGTATTGTTCAAATGTACGCACTGTCCATATCAGGGTGTGCATTAGGAAGCTGTAATGGAGAACACAGAAAGGATTTGCACCACGGCCTCCAATGAGCAGTAGCTTCACTGCTGTGCTAAACACCTGTCCTGAACCACATCATTTTGTCTGTTGCATAAAGTACTTCATTTGAATATATATATATATATTTTTTTTTAATTTGAAAACCAAGTTATAAAAGAGCACAGGGAGAAAGACAGAAAGGTGTTCCATTTTCTGGTTCACTCCTCCAAATAGGTACAGCTCCCAGAGCTGGCCCAGGCCAAAAGCAGGAGTTTTGCTGGATCTCCCACGTGAGTGCAAAAGCCCAAAGAGTTAGGCCATTCACTGCTGTTTTTCCAGGCATATTAGCACGGAGCTAGAGCAGAAATGGAACAGCTGAGACTTAAGCAGTTACCCATATGTGATGCCAGCACTGCAGGTAGTGGCTTAATCCTCTATGCCACACATAGACCCTCACATAAGTTACTTAGACGTGTTCTTACTATAAAATTTTTGGTGAAAAATTAATATTTATACTCAAAATTAGTTCTGTTGTCTAAGCTGAAAGGAAAATTAATAAAGCCTTGGGATAACTAAAGTCTTACCAATAAATTAATATCTAAAAACAGAATAACCACACCAGTGTATTAACTGGGTATTAATGATCGCTGGGCTTCATTAACAGCACAGATCGAGAGGGAAGTAGAGACGCTCCCTAAACCTTCATTTTATTGACATCTCAGCATACTTCTCCCCTCTCCTCCTAATTGTTCAGCATCCGTATAGGAACTAGAATCCTCTTCCTTCCTCTTTGTCTTCCTCTGTGAAAATTTCGAGCTTTTCTAGGGATTCTACAACTTCCTCTCCCAGCTCATCTTCAGATTCTTCAAAGTTTCTGAACTAATAATAAATAAATAAATAATAATAAAATCAAAATCATGTTATGAAATCACTGAAGAAAACGAGTTTTCCTTTTCATTTTCTACCCCCACTTGGACAATATGAAAGTGACTTTTTTTTTTAAGTTGAAAGTGACATTTTCATCTGCATAATAAATTATATCACTTTAAGGGTTTTTTTTTTTTTTACATTTTTTAAATTTATTTGAAAGGTATAGAAACAGAGATGGCTCTTCCATCCCTGACTCATCCCCCAAATGCCTAACAGCTGAACTGGGCGAGGCTAAAGCTAGGAGTCTGAAACTCAATCGAGCTTCTGTATTTGTGCCAGAGACCCGGATCCTTAGGCCATTCCTGGTGCTCCCAGGGTGCACATCAGCAGGAAGCTGGAAGCTGACGCAGAGCTGGTCCTTGAGCTCCAGCATAGGAAGCAGGTGTCCCAAGCTGCACCTTAACTTTGGTGCCAAAGCCTGTGCCTAATGGGATGATTACAGGCCACCTGTGTACTTCTAGAGTCCCAGGTCATAAGAACAGAGGAGGACCCAAGAAAGCAAACAATCTGTTAGATAGTTAAGAGCACAGGATGGGAAGGAAAGGAAGAAGAAAATGCCCTTAAAGCCTCCAAAATGACAAAACTCCAAAACACTGGAATAAATCCAATGCTAAGGCAAATGGGCACAAAATGGAGGAGGAAGAAAGGGGAGAGGCAGAACAGGAACACACCACACAGCACCAAGCTCTCACCCATTCTGCTGGGCCTTCTTCCCTGAGATCAAACACACACAGGAGTTCCAAAAACACATATTTTGATTGTGCTTTATCCATCAGGAATCGCTTTAGGCATTGCTGAAGTCTTCTTTCTGCTTGCAGATACGCAGCCCAGGAGCTGACTGCCGTGACAGCCTGCAGAAGTGTGATTATTCTCACATGAGTTCCTCGTGTACAGTGTCTCCTTCCTGTGACGTGGAGTGGCCCCCTTGGGTCTGGTGCATCAGACACTTCTTCAGCTCTGACACCCAATCAGGGTTGTCCCCATCTTCCTCAAAGTCCCTGTGGGAACACAGTCGGATGATTAGCATCAGGTTAAGAGTGCAGGAAGCATTTGAGAATGGAGTGCCAGCATAAGACTACTGTAGCAATCTTTGTAGCTCTGAAAAATGAGTTCCCTAAGGCAAGTGAACACAGGAAAAGACCATCTTCCCGAAAATGATTCCCTTCACTTTTGGCAATGTAAAATATAGTATATTTAAAAAGTAACAAGCCCTAAAAAAAAGAAAGTAACAAGTCCAGGCTGAAACATTATGTGTAGGGCTCAGCCAGGAGTTGTGTCATTATATCGAAACTTACTATCCTTCTCAGACAAAAGCAAGATAGAAATATTCCTTCATGATGAACAGGAATATTACAAGCCCTACTAAGCCAGCAATTGCCATGGTCTAATTTCATTTGTATCTCCCGGCCCACCCACTCCCCAGGACCACCACAACGCACGTGTCCTCGCCTTCTAGCCAGGGCTCCAACCTCTCAGGGTCTGGCGCGACAGCCTCGTCCCCTCCGTCGACACTGTCCGGCGCGTCTGTGCCTTCAGACAGGGGGCCTTTCAAGAACCCTTCTGAATTCTCAGGGGAATCGTTAACAGGAAAAAAAAAAATGATGTAAACAGCATTCACTCAGCATGCTGCCTGGCATCACCAGGGCCCAAGAGGCATCAGTATATGGAGGAAATTACAAAATGTGGCAAGCGCTGTGGTCACCTCCTGGGCCCCCACTTTCCACACTGGAAAGCTGGTTCCGTTCTCAGATCCTCTGCTTCCTATCCACCTTCCTGCTAATGTGCAACCTGGGAGGCAACAGAGCAGGGTCAGGCTCCAGGACCACTTTCACTCACATGGGAGTCCTGCTGTTGACCTCGCCCTTCTCATTGAAGGGTGAAAAAAAAAGTAATGAATTAAAGGGTATCCACATGCTTTTGAAAAAAACAATGTTTTTTTGTTTTGAATTAGAAAGGCAAAGCAACAGAGGAAGGGAGAGAGATCTGTCATCTGCTAGTTCACTTCCTAAACGGCCACAGAAAGCAGGCTGGGTCATTCCAAAGCCAGGAACGTAGGACTCCATCCAAGCCTCCCACATGAGTGGCAGGGGCCCAAGAACTTGGGCCATCCTCTGCTGCTGTCCCAGGAGCATTAGCAGAGAGTTGGCTGAGAAGCATAGAAGCCAGGGCTCGAGGCAGCACACTGATGCAAGATGACAGCATCCCAAACAGAGGCTTAACCTACCACGCCACAGCACTGGCTCCTACATGCATGCTTTTTTTTTTTCCTTTTAAAATATTTATTTATTTGAAAGGCAGAGTTAGAGAGACATAGAGAGAAAGAGATCTTCTATCCACTTGCTTACTCCCCAAATGGCCACAACAGTTAGGACTGGGCCAGGCTGAACCTAGGAGCCAGGGACTCTATTCTGGTCTCCCAAGTGGGTGGCAGGAGCCCATGTACTTAGGCCAGCTTCTGTTGCTTTACCAGGCACATTAACAGGGAGATATAGTGAAAGTGAAGCAGCCGGAACTCAAACCAGTGTTCATACAGGATGGTGGCACCTCAGGCAGCTGCTTCACTCTCTGTGCCACAGTGCTAGCCCCATGCACATGTTATAAAAAGCTCCTAGGGAAGGGGTGTGTGGTGCAATGGTTAAGTGCTTAGGGTGCCCACACTCTGTGTCAGAGTGCCTGCTTTGAATCTTGGCTTTTGTGGTTCTGATTCAGCTTTCCAGTAGTGTACCCTGGGAGGCAAAAGTAATAGTTCAAGTATACAAGTGTTGCTGTGACCCAAGCAGGAGACCTAGACTGAGTTCCTGGCTTCAGCCTGGCCCAACCCTGGCTACTGGGGGGCATTTGAGGAGAGACCCCATACATGAAAGATCTTTCTCTATCTATGACATAAAAACAAAATATCTAATTTTAAAAACGTTTCAACATAGTGATTGTGCCTAGGTGAACTAAAACTTTATTATTTTTTTTAATTTATTTATTGGAAAGTCAGATATACAGAGAGGAGGAGAGACAGAGAGGAAGATCTTCCATCCAATGATTCACTCCCCAAGTGAGCACAACAGCCGATGCTGTGCCAATCCGAAGCCAGGGTGGCACTACGGCACAGCGGGTTAAGCTACTGACTGACATGCCAGCATCCCCCATTGAAATGCTGGTTGAAGAACTGGCTGCTTGGCTTCCAATCCAGCTTCCCAGCAATGAGCTTGGGGAGGTAGCGGATGACAGCCCAAGTGCTTGGTCCCTTGCCATCAGGTGGGGGACCAAGATGCAGTTCTTAGCTCCTGTGTTTTGCTGGGCTCAGCCCTGTCCATTGTAGCCATTTGGGGAGTGACTCAGTAGATGGAAGATAGACAGATCTCTCTCTCTCTCTCTCTCTCTCTCTCTCTCTCTTGCTCTGATTTCAAATAAATAAATCTTTATATATATGTACGCATAATAAGCATGTGTAACATAGCCCTATGTAGCCCTAATTGCAGCTTCAGACTGCTTGAAAAGATTTCAAGACCATCTCAGAATACAATGGTGAGAAGTAACTGCTGGGTTCCTCAGAAGGGAGAACGGGGAAGTACCATTTAAGCAGAAGAGTTTCACTGTCTGCAGGTGAGAAAAGTTCTCCGTGGGAGTTTGGCGGTGCCTGCACAACATGAACACTCTGCCTTGCTGAGCTGTACTAACATGGGTAAGAGGGCGCGTGACGGCACAGACGCTATACACAACTTGTAAGACATCCAAGGGTTCCCGCAGGTGCACGCACAAGCTACCTGGTCTGTATATGGTGTAGGTCTGAAACGCCAGGCTGAGATCAGCATTCTTGAGCAGGTTCAGCAAGGTGCCCGGCGGCTCCTTGAGCCACTGCTTGCGGCTATTCAGCTCGCTGTACTTTCTCACAGAGCCACCTGTTGGGAAAAGAGAAAGATGAGCACCAGATTCACGAAGACGTCCTGTCTTCCCCATCAGACGGCAGGCAATGTTACCCTGAACTCTACTCAGATCGATTTCACTTGATGGGCATGAGTAGTGTTCTCACACGTGTCTCCACACATCAAAGTGGCATTAAAAAACACTTAGCACAAATATCTATCAGAGAATGTTCTATAACAAAATAATGACATTCGATCTCCTACAGTCATTGCTCTGCACCTGTGAATTCTACCATCTGTGCATCAGAAATATATACGTATTTTAAATAACCATTGAACAAAAAGAAACATTTTTCCCTTGTCACGATTCATTCAATAACACAGAATAACAACTATTTAAGTGGCATGTGCCCTATATTACAAAGTAATCCAGAGATTATTTCAAGTATATGGGAGGACACTTTACATTTTACACAAGGGACCTGAATATGTCCACCTTTTGGCATCTCCGGAGGGTCCTGGAACCAGCCCCGCAGGGAGGCTGAGGGCCCAGCGTGCTCACCTCTGTCGTCCTCTGCCGGTGAACTGGCAGCGAGTATGGCCGCGTCTCCCAGGGCCCTCAGAGCTGTGCTGGGCGCGTTTTTCTCCCACTGCCGCCTGCGGGTACCGGGTGAGCTGGTGTCCCTCTGCCACGCTGACTTCTTGTCCGATTCTAACACGTAGAGAGGAATGCAAAGCCCATTATTTCTTCATCTACAGCTACAAAAACTCTCTCACACTTCAGCAACACTTTCTTTTCCAAATTCATGTCTAGCAACAAAGCTTTTTCCAACCGAAGTAGCAAAGGAAGTGAGGGGAAAAAAAAAGTGAACAGGTCAAGCTAATCATTAAAGTGCTTGAGTCTGGGGGGCCGGTGTTGTGATGTGACAGGCAATGCCAGCTCCCGTGAGGCCAGTGTCCCCTATGAGTGTCGGTTCCTGGCTGGCTGTTCCACTTCAGATCCAGCTTCCTTGCTAATGCAGCCAGCAAATGCGGCAGAAGATGGCCCAAGTGTTGGGCCCCTGCCACTCATGTGGGAGAACATGTGGGGCTCCTTGCTCCTGGCTTCATCTTGGCCCAGTGTTGGCCATTGCAACCATCTGGAGGAATGAACCAGAGGACGGAGATTCTGCATCTCCCTCTCTTTCTCTGCAATTCTTTCAAAATAAGTTAATTTCTTTAAATGACTTCACTTCAAAAATAATATGTAGTTACAAGTCATGCAATGTACAAGGATACTCCAGGAGGACTCCACGACCCACAACAGCCTGTGCTTTCGACAGTGACACTGCATTTCTTAATGGCTCTTTAGTGCTAGACACTGTTCTCGCTCTTTTAAAAAGAATATATATTCTTTAAGAAGTTTCTATTTGCTGATTTATTTGAAAGGCAGAGTTGACAGCAAGAGAAAGAGACACAGAGAGGGGGGAATAAGGAGAAAGAGAGAAATAGGGGAGGGGGAGAGAAAGAGCGAGGCGGCAGGGAGCAGGGGAGCGCTGTCTGCTATACGCAGGCTCACTCACTAGATGCCTACCGCAGCCAGTGGAGCCACGCCCAAGCCAGGAACCAGTAAACACCCCGTGGGTCCCCCACGTGGACGGCAGGGTCTCAGGTACTTGCGTCCTGTCTGCTGCCTCCCAGGGTACACAGACACGAGAGCTGGACTGGAGCAGGGTGGGAAGAACTCTAACCAAGCACTCCGTAAGGAATGTGGGCGTCCCAAATGTTGGCTTAACCTGCTGTGTCACAGTGCCCGCCCCGTCAATAAAATATTATTGTAATATTAAATTACTGGATAAGCAAATATTTACCCATCACTTGATACCTAACACCCAGCAATGTGAAAGCTGCCATTCCTTCCACACTTGCCAGCTCCCCACCCAAGCAATGGTGAGAGTTCGTGTAACTAACCTTTTTCTTCTCGACTGACTCTCTTCATTGAATGTTCAGCTGAATTATATTTAATGTTTTCTATGTCAGCGTGGCTATATTTTCCACCTTGTTGTTCCTGTTGCTTTCAACAGATTAAAAATATAGATCAGATGATGTTTGAATTGCTACAAATAAGTAAATAAGCAAAGTTAATTTTAAAATAAAGTTAGAGAGTTAAAACCATGAAGTCAAAAAATCCCCAATTTATGCTAACTTTCACATATAGCATGTGTATTATATACGTATATGCACATATATTCACAATCATAAGACTTATACACGGATATTAATAGCTGCATGTATTAACTGCCAGCAAAATAAATTGTTGTAAAAATGAAAAGGATATATATATAAAACCAACAGCTATGTGACAGGTATTTATTGAGGGAAACAGTAATAAGAATTTTCAATAGGACTGGTTGTCATAAGCTTTTTATTGTGCTAAGTCTTTTTTTTAAAGACATTTATTTTTACTGGCAAGGCAGATTCACAGAGACAAAGATCTTCCATTTACTGGGTTTACTCCCCAAGCCAAAAGCTTCTTCTGGGTCTCCCACATGGGTGCAGGGTCCCAAGATTTTGGGCCATCTCTACTGTTTTCCCAGGCCACAAGCAGGGAGCTTGATGGGAAGTGGAGCCGCCAGGATTAGAACCAGTGCCCGTATGAGATACTGGTGCTTGTAAGGTGAGGGAGGATTTAGCCAATGGACCATTACACCAGGCCCCAGGTTTTTAAAAAATATTTCAAGTATTTATTTGAAAAGAACAGAAAATAAATACAGAGATCTTCCATGACATCTAAGGCCAGGCCAAGGCCAAGGCCAGGAGTCTGCAACTGTACCAGGGGCTCCCGGTGCTTACAGCACCCTAAGCACTTCTGCTGCGTTCCCAGGCACCTCAGCAGGAACGGTCAGCATTCACAGGCCATGCTGACACTGTAGGTGGCACCCTAACTTGCTGCACCACAATGCCCATCCCCTTGTTGTCATCTTAAAACCAGACATTTCATGAAGCTATTATTGCTGGGGCTCTTAACACAATATGCTCCTTTGAATAAAGGACGTCAAGGACCCCTGAGAGGCAGCCTCATAATCAAGATCTCTCTGACCCCCTTCTGCCCTCCTGCAGCACACATCTTTCCTCCCCAAAGTTAGTCATAGAAACCAGAATTCTTCTATAACGTGGCATGGAAACAAGAACCCTTTTCCCCACGCAAGCTACAACAGCTATAAGCCTTAAAGTATCCATCTAACCCTCCCATCTTCGTGCCTAGGAACTGGCCTTTAAGGCATTCTCTGATATATCCCTGGCCTTAGACTATCAGTCCAGATGAGGAGTCCTGTCCCAGAGCTGGGAAGAAGCAGTATTAACACAGACAGCCCAAGAAGTCTGAACAGGCAGGCCCGGCTGGGATTCCCAACTCAGCCCATCACCATGCAGCCACAGCCCACGCCACAGTCAGTCACATTTCTTTTTTCTTTTCTTTCTTTCTTCATTTCTCTTTTTCTCTCCTTCTTTCTTCTCTTCTTTCTCTTTCTCTGTTTCTCTTTTGCTCTCTTTCTCTGTCCTCTTTCTCTCTCGTTCATCTTCTCTTTCTATCTCTTTTTACTTCTGTCTCTCCCTGGTGCTTTCTCTTTCTCTCCTCTCTTTCATCTCTCCCTCTTTTTCTATTTCTCTGTCTTCCTCTTTATTTCTCGTTCTTTATATACATATATATTCTCATTCTCTTTCCTGTTCTCTTATTTTCTCTTCACATATATATATGTGTGTGTGTATCCTTCTCTTTTGCTCTCTTTGTACTTCTGTTTCTTTCTCTTCCTCATTCCTTCTCTTTCTCGTTCTCTTCCTCTCTCTTTTCTCTTCCTTTATTTCTCTCTTTCTTTCTCTTTCACTCTCTCTTTCTTATGCTCTTTCTCTTTCTTTCTTTTTCTCTCTCAGCAGTGATAGTCAAGAACTACTTAATCACAGGGACCAGGGTTACAGTCTTTAAATACTCCAAAGCACATGAGGGCAGTTACTGCTGGCAGATGGATGTTTTATAAATCTAATTTAAAAGCACTTACCATGGAGCTGGCTTCATTTCCCAAAGCTATCCTGATCCTGCCGCTGTCTGATTAAAAAGAAAAAGTGGACAGAGAAAGCACATGAAGCTCCACCTGATGAGGTCCCTAACGGGATCAGCACACAGCCTGAGACAAGTCAAAGCACCAAAGCATCAGCCTCAACAGGGATACTGAGCTTTATCACACAGTTCACACTGCACCTGTTCAAGGAGGCGATTTCTGCTGTCAATTCCTAACGTTAAACGCTAAGAGTTAAAGAAACAGCTCTGGGCACTTGATCTCTCCCTCCTCTGTCACCTTGGCTTTCAGATAAATAAATATTTTTAAATTGTTATTTTGATAATCTCTACATAGTTGATTAGGACAGAGGGTGAAGGGCTACTGGGAAGTGGGTAATACCATTGTTTCCACATTATTACTTTAATTTTTTTTTCTAGATCTGGGATAAAGGGAGAATAAAAGGAGAAGCCCCACCCAGCCTCCCACCCGTCCCAGGTCACTGATGTGGGGCATGCTCTGAAGGTCCTATCAAGTGGTTTTGATAGTCCAACAGTTCTGAATTGCTGCCAATATCACCATTCCAAACACAATGAAATTTCTCCAGAATCCACTGATTACACAGTCTACCTTAGAGTCTCTGTTAATCCAGAATTGAGATTAATAAATATATAAATATTAAAAAAAAATTTAAAAACTTGCTCTTGTGCCCAGCAGTTAAGATGTCAGTTACAACACCTGTGTCCCGTCTAAGAGTGCTTGAGTTCCACTCCAGCCTCAGGCTCCTCACGCCACCTTCCTGTTAATGTGGGTGCTGGGTTCCTGCTGCCCGTGTAGGACACCTGGACTGTGCTCCAGCCTCCTAGCTGTGGCCTGGCCCAGCCCTGGACGCTGCGAGCATTTGGGGAATGAACCAGTGGATAAAAGACCTCTCTGTCTCTATTTCTACCTTTCAAATAAGTAAACTAAATTGGAAAAGAAATTTACAGAATTCTTACCATTTTTTCTTGGTGCACTATGAGATTTTTTAGTTTCTTCTAATATCTGTTCACCATATTCTGCGATGACCTAGACATTAAAAAGTTGAGAATTTAAAGTTATGATATTCGTCTCTGCAGACACTGTCACAATGTTATTATCAACCATCTTCAGTACAATATTTAAATTTGAAAAATAAAAATGACATTTAAAAATACATGTAGTTTACTCAAAGATAAATATAAATTGTTGCTGTATTTATGTATAAATAAACATAAAAGAGATATGAAAGACAACACAAACTGCAGCTGAGCTGGTACTTGGAAAACAGGATCACAGGAAGAAGAAGGGAAGGAAGCATTAATGTGTATTTTAACACAGTTCTGCATCACTTGAATTTTTAAAGATCTATTTATTTGTTTGAAAGGCAGAGTTAGAGAGAGAGCATTATCTTTCCTCCACCGGTCCATCTCCTTAAATGGCCAGAATAACCAGGGCTGAGCCTGATGGAAATCGGAGCCAGGAGCCTCTTCCAGGTCTCCCATGTGGGTGCAGGAGCCCAAGCACTTGGACCATCTTCTGCTGCTTTCCCAGGTGGACTAACAGGAAATTCGATCAGAAATGGAGCCGCTGAGTCTCGACCAGTGCCCACATGGGATGCCAGCGCTGCAGGTGGCAGCCTTATTTGTTAAAACACAGCGTGGGCCCCCTCGCCCCAAAATTTTAAAAAATACACCTGTAACTGTGTTTCATAGGGTTCCCATATTAAACAGTTTAAAAGCATTCTTGCAAATGTGTTAACAAGATAGCAAACACTTAAATGAAGCCTGGGAAACAGCTGGTTGCTGTGCGGGCACACATCCTACCTCTGGAGGCAGACACTCCTGCACCAGCGGGGCCAGACAGCCCCTGCACAGGAGTGTTGTGGCTGAAGGGCGATGCAGGGGATTCCTCTTGAACATCTGCTTGATCAGAAACTGCAGCTCGTAGGAGTAATGGGACGGCAGTGGCTTGATGAACCCTCCACATATTTTAAGAATAAGACTTTTCCAGCTATTTGCCTGAAACTGAAAAGCAAAAACTGAACATTACATACAGAAACGGGAAGAAAATGAGAAATTAGAAAATGAATACCCATAAACCATTTTCAGTTCATAAATATACCTGGGGCTGGATCCTTTTTTTTTTTTTCTAGAAATGTCCTGAAGATACTACTGTAAGAGCTCACGTTGTGGTGAAACAGGTTAAGCCACTGTCTGCCACTGGGCATGCTGGTCCAAGTCTCGGCTGCTTCACTTACAATCCAGCTCCCTGCCATTGTGCCTGGGAATGCAGCAGTAGATGGCCTATGTGCTTAGGCCCCTGAACCCATACAGAAGACCGGGAGGAAGCTGTTGGCTTCAGTCTGGCCCAGTCCTGGCTGTCACAGCCATTTGAGAAGTAAGCCACTAGATGGAATCTCCCCCTCTCTCTCCCTGCAGCACACACCTTCCCCAGGTAACCCTGATCTTCAAATAATAACTCTCTCTCTCTTTTTAAAGATGCAGGTGTTTGGCGTAGTGGCCACAACAGAGTGCTTCAGCTTGACATCCACTTTTAGTTCCCAACTCCAGCTTCCTGCTCAGGTGGATACTGGGAAGTAGATAGAGGTGTTGGTTCAAGAAATGGGGCTCCTGCCACCCACCTGGGAGCCCTACACTGACCTTCCAATTCCTGGTCCTGGCTGCTGCAGTCTTCTGGGGGGTGAACCAGTGGACAGAAGCTCTGTCTCCCTTCACTCCCTCATATAAAATATAAAATTTAACAAGATACTATTCTACAACCTTCTGGTAGTTCAGGAGAAAGGTCAACATGAATAGTAAGAAACTCCCCTACCTTGAGAAACTCTTCCCATCTGGGTCTGCTTTGTCTACTTTTAAGTAAAACATCAGTGCTGTACAGGCATTTTTAATATATTTTGAAAATCAATATGTATACTGTGACTTTTAAAAAAAATGATAAAGCAAGCATAATAGTCTTTTGTTCCATGCTCCTCCAGAAACACTAAGGCTCATGTTGTAACAGCATGCACTTTAGACCTTTTCAGATTTAAATTTCCACAGCAAAATTCTTACCATTCAAGCCATTAAAGTAGCTATTAAACTTTGACAAGTAATAAAGTGGGATATAAAATGACAGAGTAGAATAGCATCTTAGAAGTTTTTCACGTCTAACAAATTTATTGGAACATGCATGAGCTGTCAGCCTGGGCAATGCTTATTTAAAAACATGTCAGCATGTGGCCTTGAAAGTGTATTACCCTATTACTAAAATGTACAAGTGAAAATATGAAAACCCTGCACACATAATAGAGGAAAAATTCACATAATGAAAAGAGAGTTTGAGTCTGCTTTGCCTCCAGCTTTTAAACCATTCTATCACATGTCTACATTTCCTAAAGGTTTGGGGACAACTCTTTCAAAAACATGTTTATTTCTTAAAATTTCTTTATTTGAAATGCAGAGAGACCCATACAGAAAGAGACAGATCTTCCATTCCCGGTTCAATGCCCACCAGAGCTGGCGCTGGGACAGGCTGAATGTAGGAAGAGTCTGGAACTCAAATCTGACTCTCCCCATGGGTGGCAGAGCCCTAACCATTGGGCTATCATCCGCTGTCTGTCAGGGTGGGCATTCACAGGGAGCTAGAATTGGAACTAGAACTAAGACTCAAACCTAAGCACTCCAGCATGGGACATAGGTATCCCAAACAACAAGCTAACACTGTGCCATACACCTGCACCCTCCTCAAAAAAAAAAAAAAAACAGAAACAAAAAACAAACAAACAAAAAAAACTTAACCTTAAAGCAGGTAAGAGATGACAGACTATGTCCTAAATAATCTGGACCCTATAGGCCACACTATGTATTCTTGCTAGCAGAAAGAATGAATATATTTAAGTTTATGCAAAGTATCTTTAAAGATATCCCTAAGATGTTAGAATTTAAATAACAATTTTGTTTGTAATAAACAGCAGTTCTCAAGCTGCACATAAGGATTACTTGATTATTTTTTTAATTAATTGATTTTATTTGAAATGAAGAGTCACTGAGACGCAGGGGAGTGAGAGAGAGGTCTTTCATCCACTGCTTCATTCCCCTAATAGTGCAACAGCCAGGGCTAGGCCATGCTGAAGCCTGGAGCCTGAAGCTTCTTCTAGGTCTCCCATGTGAGTGGCAGGGACCCAAGCATTTGGGCCACCTTCCAAGTTTCCCTAGACGCATGAGCAGGGAGCTGGATCTGAAGTGGAGGAGCCAAGACAAGGACAGCTGCCCACATGGGATGACGGTGTCACAGTAAGTGGTTTAACGCATTGTGCCACAATGTCAGCTCCTCCAGAGTAACCTCTATTAAAAATATTAATGCCCGGGCCCGGCAGCATGGCCTAGCAGCTAAAGTCCTCGCCTTGAACGTGCCAGGATCCCATATGGGCATTCCTACAGGTTCTCTCACATGTTCTAACTGTATGAGAAGCCACAGGTTCAAAAAAAAAGATATCTCATTTACAGCACATATCTTCAGTTCACACTATTTTCACCTAGTGGTGCCAATGGAGTTTTCTCAACCATTCACTCTCCTGAGCGCTCTGGGCTCTCAAACACATCTGTATATTAGCTTGGTAGAGCTCATTTACACAAGCAAAGAAGAGAATTTATCTCTATGCAAAGCAAGGACTAACAGAAATCAATTCTATAATTGCTGTTCTTTGAAACAAAATATTAGTAAACAAAAAGGATGAGGTATGTAACTTCTATTTTGTTTAATTTTTAAAAATTTTATTAATTTAACTTGAAAGTCAAAGTTACAGAGAAAAGAGAGGGAGAGACAGAGAGAGAGAGAGATTCCATCCACTGGTTCACACCCCAAATGGTTACAAAGGCAATGGCCAGGGCTGGGCTGGCCCAAAGCTGGGAGTCAGGAGTTTCTGGTGTTCCATGTAGATACACGAGCCCAAAGCTTTGGGCTATCCTCCACTACTCTCTCGGGCCATTAGCAGTAGGAGCTAGACCAGCACCCATGTGGGATGCCAGCACTGCAGGCGGAGGATTAGCTAGCTAAGGCATCACTTGGCCCCTGTTTAATTATTTAAATATAGATTTTTATTTAGAAAAACAACACCATGTGGCTAACTTTTTTCCTATATTTCAACTATAGAGGCAGCACACATGACAAGTAAAATCTACCTGCAAAAAGGTGGGTGCAAACATGGTATAGACATTCTGGAAAAAGTCTGGCAGTTCCTGGGAAAGCTACACATGTAACGATCACATTATACAGCCAATTTTACTCTTGGGTATACTCCTCAAAAACAGGAATCAGAGAATCTAGCAGACACTGGTACACCTATGTTCACATCAGCTTTATACTCAACAGCCAAAAAGCAGAAACGACCCGAGTGTGCACAAATGGGCAGGCAAACAAATCATGATGTAGACACACACTGGACCAGATGTCAGGCACCAAAGCAAATGGAATTCTCATTGAGAACACTACACCAATGGAAGAAACCAGACGTAAATGGACAAAAAGTCCATTATCTCACTTACATGACACATCTACAATGTGCAAACTCAGAGATAGAGGGTAGACTAGAGGCAACCAGCAGCTGGGGGGAGAGAGGAACAAGGAGTAATTATTCAGTGGGTACAGAGTTTCTGTTAGGGATGAAAGAGATGGGTCCCAAGTAGATATTAGTGAGGATGATGCAACGCTGAGAATATAATTAATACCACTGGACGTACGTGTAAAAAATGGCCAGTAACAACACTTTTTGCATCATATGTATTTTTCTCAAAACCTTAAACAGTAGGAACAATGTGGCAAGAAGAAAGAAAGAAAAGCTAAATATAGACTCACAGAAACTAAATAACAGGTATTTCCTATTGGCAGACATCACAACAGTGGCTCCTGGCATGGACAATGATGACAACATAAGACAACTTTTCATAATGAATTCATCCTAGTAAGCAAACTGTCAGATGGAACTGGCTGTATTACTTCAGATGTGGTCAGAGAGAACCAAGCACAAACGCCCAGTTGTGTTTTGCACAGCATACTCACCGGATGCTTCAGGGTACAGAGTTCATACAGAATGCATCCCAAGGACCAGATATCGCTGGGAACATAAGAACACAAGAACAAGCAGACTGTGAGTTACTGCACAAAAAGAGATGCCTTTTCAAATTAAGATATGAAAAATCACCATGCCTTTATGACAAAGAGGAATATGATCAGTAATTCCTAGGTATTTAAGTAAGACGTGCAGTAATCTTGATTTAGTACTTAGATCCTAAGAATTATGATTGCAGAGAGAGCCCCATCTTCCGCCCCTCCCAGTCAGGCTGCTTCAGGAATCTTCTCCGCAGTGTCTGAGGATTCAGGAGCAGGAGGACCAAGTATCTGCTGGGTCATTCCCCAAATGGCTACAACAGCCAGGGCAGGGGCAGGCTGAAGTCAGGAGTCCCGACGTGGGTAGCAGGGTTCCTAGGACTTGGGCAATCACCAGCTGCCTCCCCAGGCACAAGAGCAGGAAGCTAGACTGGAAGCGGAGCATCTGGAACACGAGCCAGCACTCAAATGTGATGCCGACACCGCAAGCAGCAAGCTTAACCTCTAGCACCACAGTGCCAGCTGGGACACTCTTTTTTATTTTTGCTGTTTCCTTCAATTTTAAGCTTCTCAAATTTCAGGACTCCAGAAAACTCCCAGAGGCCCACTGGCCCTCAGCCAGGTTCCCCATTTGCTGTGTCCATATGCTATCCCTGGATTTTGAGAAAAGACCAACTTCCGGCAATCATTAAACCCATCCATCAAGTGATTGTTACCTAGTCCTGTAAAGGTTAACTCAGTGACATCACAAAGGTTCTTGCATGCTAGAATCACTTGAAAAATTGTTGACGCCCACTTCCCACCCCCTGATGTTAAGCTTTAACTGCCATAGATGCAACCTGGGATTTAGAATTTTTTAAAGTAGAAGCAGGAACTGGCATTGTGGTGCAGCACCTTAAGTTGCTGCTTGTAAAGTCAGCATCCAATAGGGGTGGGTCTGTTCAGCTCCTGACTACTCCACTTCTGAGTCAACTCTCTGCTAATACACCTGGGAAAGCAGCTGAAGATGTTCCAGTTACTTGAGACCCTGTCACACGTATGAGAGACTAGATGGAGTTCCTGGATCTTGGTCCAGATCTGGCTATTGTAGCCTTTTGGAGAATGAATCAACAGATGGAAGTTCTGTCTCTTCCCATCTCTTTCTCTCAAAAAACTAAAAAATTAATGGTCAGTACAGTAGCTCAACAGGCTAATCCTCCACCTATATGTGCCAGCATCCCATATGAGCACCAGTTTGTATTCCAGTTGCTTCACTTTCCTTTCAGCTCTCTGTTTGTGGCCTGGGAAAGCAGCGAAGGATGGCCCAGGTCTTTGGGCCATCATATGGGAGACCCAGAGGAGGCGCCTGGCTCCTGGCTTCAGATCAGCTCAGCTCCAGCTGTTGGCACTGTTTGGGGAGTGAATCTTTTCAATAAAATTAACTAAATCTTTTAAAAAATTAATTCATTAAAACATTGTGCAAAAAGTAGGAGCAGCAAAGTATGGGAACCAGTGATACAGTTCATACTGTTTCTATAAATAGTTAGGCTTTCTTTGGGTGTTTATGATGAGTTCTTAATTCTGATTAAAACAGAGAGCTTTGACATTCATCTAGACGCTCCATGTATTTGCCTGAAAGTGGTGCCAACTCTAGTGTCCCATGTAGACTATGATGCCAGTCTCCAAAGGGTTCCCCCAGCACAAAACAAGAACACTGCTCACCTTTTATTGTTGTAAGGTAGGTTCTCCCAAATTTCTGGAGGCACATAATAAGGTGTTCCCACATACGTGCAAGCCAATGCCACAGGGCTGAAAACCAGAGAAAGGCAAAGAATGGTCACAGCACATCCCTGAAAACGCAGCCCGGTTTGATTCTTGTCACCACAACAGGAGAACAGAGATAAAAACGTACTTGGACAGAAGACGAGCAGATCCAAAATCTCCCAGTTTTACTTTTCCATTTTGGGTGAGAAAGACGTTCTGCATTTAAACCACACACAAAAAAACTTAGGTTATATCTTCTTCACTCAAACAAAAGGCAAAATGAGGCTGACATTGCGAGGCTGCTGCCTTCAGCAGTTAAGGATAGAACAGCTGCTAGCTGAGTCTGCAGGGATACAGGTACCTTCCTGACAGGTGCACATGCTGCTGGCTTGGGAATACAGGAGGACGGCAGTGACGTTCTACCAGCAGCCCCGACGGACTGGGAACCTGTGTCAGGGTCGCCAACCTGGCAGGCTGAGGCATCAACTACTTTCTATCTGAGAGCATGTAGACATAGTAAACATGGGGCTGAGAGAGCTGGGAACGTTAGCATACAGCCCAACAAGCACTGCAATCACTCCTTTGCAGGCAGTAACTTATTCTGCTTATATTGGTTCAAAGGGTGCAAAGCCCCAGTTAGCAACAGTGGGCAATAATGTGCAGTGTATTTGGTACTGCTAAGCCAATAGATCCTAAACATTCTTACCACCAAAAAAAAAGGGTCCGTATAGCAGGTGATGGATATGTTCATTAGTTCAATCTCATCATTCCAGAATGCATACATACATTTAAAAAATCACAATTTGCATCGTAACTATGCATTTTTATTTGCATCTTAATAAAGTTGAGGGAAAGCTTTTTAATTAAATAAAGGTACACAAATAAATACCAAACTGAAAAACATTTTTTAAATAAATAATTTCCCCAAAAGAAAAATGGAATAACAGAAGAAAAAATCCGTATTATTGTGGATTTTCTTAAAGATCCAAAATATATTCTACTCACCTTGGACTTGATATCTCTGTGTAGCACCCGTTTCCTGTGAATGTGATTTACTCCAAGGCACAGTTGTGTAAACCAATTTAGGATCTGCAAGAAAATATGCAAAATCCACAAGGCTATAATATCTTGTAATACAAATTCAAAATTCCAAAGAATCACTTCTAGGATATAGTTAACCAAGATTTTAACACAATGTGAGTACAAAACCCCTGTACTCACCTTAGTTCAATTCAGATTTCTCCCTGATTCTCACATCCATTTTAGTAGGATTCAAAACGTCATGTATGTTACAGTAGTTTATGTACTGGTTTACTTTTACTTCAAAGGCAGAGAAACAGCGAGAAACAGAATCAGAGGGAGGGAAGAAAGATCTGCCATTTGCCGGTTCACTCCCAATTGCCGGTAACTGGGGCTGGGTAGGACTGAGCTTCAGCTCTGGCTCCCACGTGGGAAGCAGAGACCCAGTGACTCGATCCGTCACCTGCTGAATGATGCACCTTCCCACCAGCACAGACCCACAGCAGCAGTGTGAGGGCACTAGTGATGGCTGCAGGAACTGGGCTCCTGCCATCCATGGCTTTGATGAAGCCCGGTCCTGGCCACTGTGGCTATTTTGAGAATGAACAAACAGATGGGACTCTTGTCTGTCCGTCTCTCTTTGCATCTCAAATAATAAATAAAAGTTAAAATAAGATTAAAACAAGATTTCAGTGCAATTAAAATAAAGAGTTAATTATCTAGTACAAGGCACAATGAGTCATACAATTTTGTCTTAGGCATGGAAGTCTTATTCTTTCATAATTTACAGCCACCATATTGGTCTTACTTTCTAAAAATATTTTTTAAGACTTATTTATTTCACTTGCAACTCAGAATTACATTGACAGAGAGAGATGGAGATTTTCCATCTACTGGTTTACTCCTCAAATGGCCACCACAAACACTGATGAGATGGTCCAAAGCTGGGAGCCAGGAGCTTCTTCCAACTCTCTCATATGGGCACAGGAGTCCAAGCCCTTGGGCCATCCTCCACTGCTTTCCCAGGCCATTAGCGAGGAGCTAGGTCAGTAGTGGAGCAGCCAGAACATGAACCAGTGCCCATATAGGATGCTGGCACCACAGGCAGAGGATTAGCATGATGAGCCACTGCTCGGCCCCCATTGTCTAAATATACTTTGGTCGGTAACTTCCTGAGGACGCTACTCAGTAACAGTGATAAAGCAATCGGTTGTTGGAGCCGACACAGACAGCTGCAGGTTCAAATCATACCTGCTTCACTTCTGATCCAGTTGCCTGTGAACGAACCTGGGAAGGCAGCATCATGACCTAAGTGCTTGGGCCTCCACACCCATGCAGGAGACTGTGACAAAGCTCCTGGCTCCTGGCTTCAACCTGGCTCAGCCCCAGCTGTTGCAGCCAACTGGGTAACCAAAGGTTACAAGATCTCTCTCTGCTTTTCCCTCCCTCTCTGTAACTCTGCCTTTCAAATAAGTAGAGAAATCACTAAAACAAAATGTTTCTAATTAGGGTGCTGGGTAACCACAGATCCCAATGCTTTAACTAACTGATAGAAAGGTCATGAGAAAATTCACTTCTGAATCTCCAGCCAACCACGTAAGTCAAATCTCTTACCACATCTTCAGGAAATAACTTCCCCTTTCGCTGCTTAATCTTTTGCATTAGATCCCCTCCATCACAATATTCCATCACAATATACAGATGACCTTCAGCTAAAACAAACGCAAGCGTCTTTAGCAAAGTTGCAGTGGACACAGATATATTCACAGGTCCAGGGGACTTTATACTCACCTTCAAATGATTCTTTAAAGGCAACAATATTTGGGTGTTTCATTTTGGCCAACAGAACAGCCTCCTTTCTAGAATTCTGTGTCTCAAAGAAAGACTGAAAGAGATTTAAAATAAATGATCAATTCATATTGCATTTTGATCTTTAGACTTACTTATTTTAAAGGTAGAGTGGTGGAGACAGGGGGAGAGAGAGAAAAAAAGAATTATCTTCCATCCACTGGTTTACTCTCCAAATGGCCACAACAACTAGGACTGAGCGAGGCTGAAGCCACAAGTCAGGAAGTCCACCCAGTTCTTCCACATGGGTGTCAGGAACTCAGCCATCACCCAGTAGGGAGCGCGACTGTACAAAGAACAGCTGAGATTTGAACTTTTACTATGTTATGGAATGCCAGTGTCACAAATGACAGCTTAACATGCTGCACCACAATACCCAATCCTAATGTTACATTTTAAAATGGCATCATAATAATTTAAAGTGATTATTTCTATTATTTAACATTAAGTATGCTAATATCTACTATTGATGTTAATTTAATCAATATGAATGTTTATGTATTGAATTATATTATAATATTTAATACAGTATGAATAATATTTCAGCATTAGGTGTAGTTTTATAAAATTGCACTTGGACCCAAGTTAAACTTATCCAACTCAGCCCCCAAGACAACTATGGCTATATTTTGTAAGCTGAGAGCTGACCATTTTACTGGATTTATATATTCTTTTTCCATTTCTTACATGTACAGAATGTAAATGAAGTACTTTTCCCTATAATTTTTCTCTTCTTGATTTCTAACATTTTACCAGTCCTGTAGCCAAGGTAAAAGAAAAGAGTACATTACTGCATCCAAGATGGACAAAGATGCGACATAAAGTCAGTTTCCAGATTTGTCTATTGCTTACCCCAAGGATTAACTCTATTCTGCATGACCTGACCATCCAGAACTTGCCACTGAAAAGGTTCTGGGACAATGTTCTCACAGCAGCAGCAGCAACACCAACCAAGGACTTGTTAAACATGCACATTCTCAGGCTCACCCAGAACTCGTCAGAAGCACAAGCGAGGCACAGCAACCTGTTTCCAGTCTTCCAGACAAATATGCATGTCACTGAAGAAGCTGAGGAATGCGGTGGTGTGGGAGCTCAGCACAGCATCCATACCAAAGTGCCTGGGTTCAAGTCCCTGCCCCACTTGTGCTCCAGCTTCCTGCTAATGCAGCCGGGCAGCCGGCGGACAATGCTTGGCACCCATGTGACACACCCAGATGGGGTCCCTGGCTCCTGATTTCTGATCAGCTCTGCGCTGGCTGGTGCAGGCCTTTGGGAAATAAACCAGCAAATGGAAGGTCTCTCAATCTCTGTTTCTCCCTTTCTCTCTGTCACTCTGCCTTTCGAGTAGATAAATGAATCTTTGAAAAAACAAGTTTGACAGTATAGCAGGTACTGTGTCACAGGACAACCGTGATATGTAGTAATGAGGACTAGTGGGAATAAAACTTGTCCAGTGCTCCAGAGGGCCGTTTCCCTGATACTAAGGGTGGGCAGACCAGACCTTGGTTCTTCACATTTCATGAACCTTCCTCATCAACACTGCATATGAATTGCTTTGGCAAAGATCTGCTACACTGTTAAGTAGACACAATTGGAAATTATTCCTGATTATACCGTGGGATAAAATAAATAATAATCACTATCTGAATACAGCCCAGGTTTTTTTTCTTCTGTTAACTGCAAGGCCCTTCTTAGGTCCTTCATGATTACAGATTCATAAAGCTAATGAATAAATTGATTGTATCTTTTGCACAAGGAGAAAGCCTATGCTGAGCCTCAAGAATTAGTGTCTTAGCAACCACAAGCACATGTTCACTATGGCCGAGCGTGCTGACCTTAGGCAGCCTTATCTCCTTCATGGCGAACAGCTGGCTACTGCTTTCCCGCCGAACCAGAAGAGCTCGGCCGAAGGAGCCCTCGCCGATTGTGCGCAGGACGGTGTAGTCATCCATGCTGGGCTCCACCAGGGTGGTCTCCAGGGACCCGTCAGATCTACAATCAAAAGCAGAAGCACATGTACTTTCAGAAAGCACAATCCAGCCTGTTCAGGCTAAAAGTGACCATCCCCAAATGCGGCAGGAATTTTTTCTCCTTTTTGCATGCTGAGCAATTTAACCAAAACAAAAATTTAAAAATCTTAAAAGCAACTCCAGGTCAAGGTCCTTCTAACCTTCTTTTCACCCTTCAAGTGCAAGGAGAGGTTTTCTGCAAAGCTCCTTGACCTATAGAGTTCCTTGGGACACGGCAAAGACACCAGTAATTTGGGTCTCTTCCTGAGCAGCCCAGGCAGAAAAATGACAGTGAAACAAAATAGGTGTTTTATTAAAAAAAAAAATCATACAAGGGTCAGCTGTGTGATGTGGCACGTTATTCTGCAGCCCACAAACCCGGCACTGGCATCCCATCTAGGGAGCAGTTCTAAGTCCCCGCTGCTCCACTTCCAATCCCACTTCTACTAAGGCGCATGGGAAAGCCCTGGAAGACGGTCCAAGTGCTTGGGCCTCTGCACTTCTGGAAGTGTTCTGTGCTCTCGAGCTAACTCTGCTCAGCCCCTCAACAGCTAAGGCCATGTGGGGAGTGAACCAGCAGACTGGAAGATCTCCCTCCCTATCCCCTTCTTTCAAATAAATATTAAGTGCACATTAAAAATACGAGTTTAAAAAAATCATATAGGATATGACCAGTAAAGAGAAATCACAAACTAAAACCTGTAATATAATATAGTGACATGAAAAACTCCAGGTTGAATTGCTGTTTACCACAGAATTCTCTGGAAAGTCTAGAAATCATTTTTTTTCCCATCGAATCTGATGCATTGTCAGCAAAAGTAACTCCAATGGTAAGGTGTCAGGATAGCTTGACCCACGTGAAAGAAACACAGTCCCTACCAGTGTTGTAAAGGAAGCCGCTGCTGCAGACTCAACAGGGTCTGTCCTGTTCCTTCCCTCGGGGCCTTTACTCCATGCTGTTGAGAGTGACTGCTAAACTACAGCCAGGAGATTTTTCTTAGTTGAAAGCCAGATCCCGCCCTTTGTGCCGACAAGGCCCTGTTCGTATCATATTACATCCTGAAGGCCCTTACAAGCCCTGACCAGGCTTTGACTGAGGTCCGGCTCATTGCCTACAACAATTAAAAAGCATAAAGTGATTTGCGAACGCTTTCAGGCTAGATTCCCCCAGCGACACACAGGCTAGGTCCGGCAGCTACGCCCGCGGTAGCCGGGCGACGAAGCATTCCTCTCACCGGCTCATCCATCCTTTCCTCTCTGCAGGGTCCGGCCCCACCTGCGCTGCACCTGCGTCCCCCGCACACCTGAGGGCTGCAGGGGCGGACGGGAGCGGCGATTGGGGCCCAGGCATGGTCAGAGCGAGTCTCTCATTCGCCCTCAGCCGTGTGGGCGCCTTCACTGTCGTCCAGCACCCACGCCGGAGACCACCCCCACCACGCGCGCCTCCTTCCCACCGACGCGCGCCCTGGCCGCTCACCCGCGTCCCGCGCCTCCACGGCCCCCGCGCCTCCACGGCCCCCGCGCCTCCACGGCCCCCGCGCCTCCACGGCCCCCGCGCCTCCACGCCGGCTCCGAGCGACCCGGGCGCGCTTCCGGAGGGCGGGCCGGCCGGGCGTCTCCCGGGTTGTCGGCCCAGGAAGCCGCCTGAGTCTGGCGGGAGGCGCTGTCCTTCGGAGTAGCCGGCCTGTGCACGGGAAAGCTGTTGCTCTGAAACAAGGCGAATCCTGTGGAAGGAAAAGTGCCTTCCAGTAAAAACGCGCCCTCTGTCGAGTTAAAGACGTGTGCTCAGTGTAACATCTAACTACTTTACTGTAGGATCGTAAGTGTGGAAGGTATACCTCAAACTTGCCCCTTCTGTTGCCTGCAACGTGTGCATTCGTTCCTTTATGTGGCAAAAAGGGAATGAACAGTGCAGGGGGAAGTGAGGTTGGGAACCATGACTTTAAAATAAGGGAGGTGGGCCAGGGTTGAGTTACCCGCTGACAGGCCTCCCACATGGGCCTGTCTACATAAACTTGCAGCTCCTGTAGAGGTTGAAATATAGCAGATAAAGCCCAAGTGCTTGGGTCCCTGCCAACCCCCAGAGGAGACCTGTACCAGTCCCCGATTCCAGCCTGGGTCAGTTCAGACCCATAAGAGTGCAAGTTTGTCCGGACTGATCTACTGCCCATCCAGCTCCCTGCCTATGAAAGGAAGCCGCATGGGATGACCCGAAGCCTTGGGACCCTCCACCTACCTGGAAGATCCAGAAGTTCCTGGCTTCTGACCAGCTCAGCTCTAACTGTTGGAGCCATTTGGGGTGTGACCTGGCAGATGAATGTCACCCCTTTTCTCTGTAAATCTGCCTTTCTGGCAAAAATTAATATGTCTTATAAAAATAAATTTAAATGTAAAAAAGTCACCCTTAAAAAGACTTGTCCAAACATAAAATTGGAATATTTTGTATTCACTGAGGTATTTCAACTTATACTATATGGACAAATGAGCCATTTGGTTTGGATATTGGATATTAGAAAGTTGAGAGTAATCCCAGTAAAATGACAACAGAAGAATAAATCAATGAACAACCCATTCCTAAAATGACAAGACCAAAGTACCACCCATGTATATTTAATTCTGAATGTAAATGGCTTAAACTCAATCAAACATCATAGATTAGTAGACTGGATTAAAAAAACAAAACCCAGGTTTATTGTCTGGAGGAGACACACTCCAACAAAGATCAGCGGAAACTGTATCACATGGGTTTTGTGGTTTTCTGTTGGTTTCAGCTCTTCAAAACACTTTCTTCTGATTAAATCATCCAATGACTCGTAGATCATACAGTAGCATCATTTTACTCAAGGTTTTTGATTTTCATTTCTTCAGCTACACATTAGTCATTTAATAGCATGTTGATTAACTTGTTGGTGTTGTTAATTTCTTTTTTCTCCCTGAGGTTGATTTTGTTTTGTGGCTCTTCATTTAAGGGGATGTATAGAGTTGTGTAATGGAGACTGTCATATCTAGTAACATGTCATTTCACTTCATGGCATTGTAAATTTCTATTTTTCTTTCTATTGTTGATTTTGTATCATGACTTTGACGGGATGTACAGTAGCTGTGAAATGGAGACTAATATCCAGATGTGAGGATGCACCGTGGTATGCATTTCTGTTTCCAAAGATGGACTTAGAATGAAACTGTTTACTATATCTTGACAATAGGATTCTGGACTCTGTGCCATTGTCCATGCCCGCAATGATGGACATATGACTAGGTATGAAGAACTATATGTTAGTAATGATATAAAGGAACAAGATCGGGGGGGAAGGAATTGTGGAGGGGATAAGGGTATATGGAACTGTATCATAAAATGATAGCAATAGGGCCCAGCGCGGTGGCGCAAGTGGTTAAAGGTCCTCGCCTTGCACGCCCGGGATCCCATATGGGCGCCGGTTCTAATCCCGGCAGCCCCGCTTCCCTTCCAGCTCCCTGCCTGTGGCCCAGGAAAGCAGTCCGAGGACGGCCCAAAGCTTTGGGACCCTGCACCCGTGTGGGAGACCCAGAAGAGGCTCCTGGCTTCGGATCGGCATAGTATCGGCCATTGCGCTCACTTGGGGAGTGAATCATCGGACGGAAGATCTTCCTCTCTGTCTCTCCTCTCTGTATATCCGCCTTTCCAATAAGAAAATAATAAAAATAAATCTTTAAAAAAAAAATGATAGCAATAATAATAAAATGTAAAAAAAAAAAGTTGAGAGTATGTTGACAGCTTGAATTTTCTTTCAAAGTAGTATATTTTGGGTTATTGATGAAGTCTAAATAAAATAGCTCCTTCTATTAAAGTGGAGGAAAAATCAATAAAATTCGATAAGTAGCTTGATGGTTATTTTCAAGAAGGTAATGTTGTAATTGTCGAAAGCCAAAATCTTAGTTTACTTCAAACAGAAAGTTCAAATTCATTTGCTGTAAATTCTTCTTCACAAAATATTTGTTAAAATAAATGTCATCAAAACCACATAGACAACTTTTTTATTGTATCCGTATTAGGTACAATCAAAAAATAAAAATATCACACTCCGGAACATGACACAGTAGATTTATACAATACAAATGTAAAGAACATAGATAAGACTTGAAGTATGTGCTCTTTAACCACACCCATATCACAGAGTTTTTAAAACTAAGCTTTACAATTCACTTATCTGAAACTCTAGAGTTAGGAGAGGATGGATGCCATGAAATGGTCAATCCCAGGCTTATATGAGACAGTTCTATTGGCGGGTTTATTTGTGAGGAGAAACACTTTACTGTAACTTTTTTGTTAACGGAGCCATGGCTGAGCAGTGACATTGTTAAGTCATGGAGGAGAAAGCAGGTATAAGTATTACTTTAGGAATGATAACAACAAGATTGACATTTATTAAGTCATACATACTTGCTAATAGCTTATAAATTATAAAACGTAGTTATGGAAGTTAATGTTTTAGATAGGAAGGTTATAAACAGAACTGATTAAACTTTCAAATGATCCCTTAAGTGAGGCTTTATTTTTTCTTATAAAATACCTTCTTTTGGGAACAGGTTATTTATCCTTTTTGGTGATCTTAGAAGAGGCCAGGAGACCACAGATACAGATCAACCCTGATGAAGTGTGACTGTGAAGAACCACAGGCAGCAGACACAACAAGCATGACAGCATGGGGAACTGACCTGGGTGGAATAACAGCCCAACCGTGTGTCAGCATATTTGAAGGGAGTTGGGTTTATGCAGCATATACTAACCAAAGAGGGTTATTTAACTTTCTAAGATGTCAGTGCAAAACTAGAATTTTCTTCAAAAACATTTTCTGATGAATTTCAACCATATTTAGATTTAGTAAAGAATCAAACACAATAAAATCTCCATTTGCTCAGAGAGCACAGCAAACCAGCTGACAAGACTTTATTTTAAACACAAAGTGTTGAGACTGCCAAGGTATAAGATCATGTCTCC